ATAATAATAATAATAATAATAACAACAACAATAATTATTATTATTATTATTATTATTATTATTATTATTATTATTATTATTATTATTATTATTATTATTCCCTTCCTTTTCTGTGCTATTAAATCTCTTAAACTGTCTTTTATCTCAACCCACAACTTTCCCTTTTTTTCCCCCCAATTCCCTTCCCCATCTCACTGGGAGGGGAGTGAGTGAGCAGCTGCGTAGTGTTTAATTGCCAGCTGGAGTTAAACCACAACAAACCCTGAAGTAAATGTTGCCCTTGTAAGAATATCTGACCCTTCAAAGCTCAGGCTGAAATGAGTTTTCTGAGTGATGAGCGGTCATGGATCATAGCTATCAGAGAACAGTTTGGGTTGGAAGGGACCTTAAAGGATAATGTCAGTTGGTTGAAAGGTTTAGCTGGTTGATCAGTAAAGTTGGTTAAATATTATGAATTAGGAGTCTACAGAAAGATATGTAGATTTCTCTTGCCTTAGAATTTTTCTTTAACGTTTATTAGCTCACCTGTCATAACATTAAATATTCATCTCAGTTTGAACTCCAGTGCAGCCTTCTTGTTAATCATCACATAAGAACAGTATTTATATGATAGGCATCCTACTTATTGCCCACTGATGCTTCCCTCTCTATATTTCTTCTTTTCCCACTCAGTATATTTGTATATCAAAAGCTAATCTGTGAAGGGAATCTACCTATAGGTAGCTTGAAGGAGATGCTTCTTTTTCATTTTAGCGGAACCCACATCCATACATAAATATGGCTATACACTTATCTTAGCTACCTGTTAAAGAAAATCTGCTATTTGTTATTTCCATACAGCATAATTTTCCCTATGCACAGAGGATGCCAAAATGTATATAACAAAATTAATATTATTATTAAATATCTTTATAAGAAAATTATGTGTCTAGTGAATAACGGCTGTGCCCTAACCAGTCACGATGAATCATTCTTCCCATGACAAAATAAATGCACTTAACCTCTTGGGATAGTACCATGTATTTTAAAAACATATCTTCAGAGAGGCAGACTTACAAGTGTAATTTATCCATATTTCTTTTTTACTGATAGAAATACCTCCCAGTAACTTGCTGACATTATCACACTCATCCAGCTCTTATCTGCTACTGGTTTAGCCATGAAATGAATCTTACTGAATTTAGAAAATCTTGTTATTGACTCTAGACTTCTCCTTCCCTAGTGAATCCTTACAAGACAGACAAGCTATAAACAGTTATGCTGTCTTCTTTGACCGAAAGAGGTAGTCAAAATTCAAATTTATACACGCTGTTTCATTTAGGAAGAGAAACCGAAGATGGAGCAAGTTATTTCTGCTACAGTTCTTTTATTTGCAAAAAGCATAAAACTTCTGCTTTCTTTATAGTTTAAATCACAGTAGCTGATGAGGACATAAAGAATGCAAAAAGGATATATTTTATTTGTTTATAGAACCAAATCTTTCAGCAGGCACTCTGTACCATTTGCACTATATTCTCAGTGCTGCTTCTGTCACTGGCTTTTTTTCTATTCTTTTTCCATATCTGTTCTGGTAGATCATTTTACTTGTCTCTCAGAGTTGTTCCTCTCCCATGCAATCATTCTCCAGTCATTCTTGACAGATAGAATCTATTGTAACTTTGAATATGACTTTATTTTGGCATAAGTCTATTATTTTAGTTTTTAATTCAAGAAAGAGTTTTTAGATCCTATTACTCACATCCTGAAACGCTGATCTTAACCCTACCCATTTCGATTTAGTAAAACCCAAATAATAATATCCCCTGTATTAGCTGCTACCCACGAATCCAATGATTCCTAAATTTGTGACAACTAAAAGCTCAACACAAGACAAAAAGACTTTAACAAACTTCGTATCACCTGTCCATAAATTATTAACGTATCAGCAAAGTACTTCTGTGCCTATATATTTATATGTCACTAATTCAATTGTATTTTACTCTCATTCAACTCCCTTCAGAATTTTTTCTCCCTAGACATTTTATTTCCAACTATCTGAGAAGAAGCTTCCATTAACGAATCCCTGGGTTAACAGCTTCTGTGAAATCTATCTTACCCGTGTCAAACAGAAAAAAAAATCATTACTATCAGAATACCTCCAGCACTGATTTTATGGCATAGTAAGCTCAAACTGTGGCATTCTGATAGCCAAAATTTGATGAGGCAATATTGAATTCAGCCCTATGGCTTTTGTATTGCTCCATGTGTTGGGATCAATAATGAACAGGTTATCCTCTTAAAATGCATTTTCTAGTCTAGAGCTCTACGGTAGCAAGAAGTTCCTACCAGAAACGACTAGGTCTTTGAAAATCTATGCATACGACCACCTACGACAGCCACAGAGACTATCACAGATATATCACAGAGACTACCTTCACACTTTGACAAGAGAAGGTATGTGATTCCTAGCCGGGCTCTTTTACAGTCCAAATAGAAATTCCTGTTCAGTACTTCAGAAAATCTACAAAATCTGTTTACCGTTTTCTTTAGCTTATCACTGGAAAGTCATCCAAAGGAACAGGATATCTGACTAAGGTCCCTTTTCTACTGATCTTCCAGCTAGAAGTACATCATGCCAGCAAACCCTGCTACCATTTTACCCTGTTGGTTATGCAGGTACAGTATCCAATAAGTTTACTGGTCAGACGGATATTTTGAGGAGATGCCACTTTTTAAGTAATTTTCTAACCTTTCATCATTAGGCTACCACAATAGAGTTTACTACCATGAAGAAGCCAATGCAACTATCAGGTGTTCTGGAGCCTGAACTCACAATCCTCATCCTGGATGATCCAAAAATATGTGGAGGAGAGAGCTACCTCTGCACTAGCACATAAATTCTCTCTCCGAGATTTACTCGGAGATTACAAATGAGGACAGTGTTCCAGATCAACCCCCAGGTTTTGTCAAAAAACCTGCAACACCGTATTTCCCCAAAATTTTGTGTATTTGAACCATGGGACTAGCACCGTTGCTAGTTCTTCCAGTTGCCTGGTAGACGGTGTCTCAGGTTTATTAAAACCAAGGAGTCATTACAAGGAAGTACGAAAAACAATGACATTCAAATATAAAAGTTTTAAATTGTGATACAGATTTAGCCAACGTCAGGATTTTAATGGAGATGGTAATTTATTTAAGAAACGTACATTTTCTTTTGTAATGACTCACAGGTGTCACTGAAAGGTCAGTCTGATTTCTAAGTCAGGTCAGTTGGTAAAGTTATCACCTTCCACTGTTCTTTTAGGGTAATTTACAAAAAAATGAGAGCTATTTACCTTTAAATGCCTAAAATTTAATTCATTTAATTACTTTCACTTAAAGTTTAATTAGTGCTTAAAAATTACCTTAAAATGCGACATTGTACATTGTGGCAGTTAAAGAGCTGCTTCACAAGGGCAAAGAATTGGAGTGGGGGAAAAAAAAAGATCTTTCCATCCTACAAATATATTTTCAAGTCATTTCTCTTGCCAGAAATCAGTTTATAAATAAAGTACAGTCTTGGAAAACTCTCCATATCTATTAGTGTCTAGGCAGTTGGCTGATACTCTACCACACATTTTTATTTTCTCAGTGGAAATCCTCCCTTCTCCACCCTGCTTATGTGTGCAAGGTAAATTATCTCGTTCTGAAGCTACTCACATTTCTTTGGGTCTCATTTCAGATCTGCAGCCTTAAAGTTATCACGGAATATTTGCAAATGTAACTATCAGTTCTTATTTCAGAGTTTTAGCGGGGACCAGGATATCATCTAGGTTTAACCGTATGGGCTACACAATACCCTCTTCCATTAGTCTCTCAAATATTCACTGTGCAAGCCAAAAACCTCAGGTGAAACTGCCAATGGCTTTGTACTGCTATGAAAGCAGTTTTCCTCCAGTTTATCTCCACATGCCAATATTCGCTTTAAAGTTGTGTGTGGAAAATGAAATTAAATCTCTGTAACAACTGGAGTCTCATGCATTCATTGTAATGTATATGTTTGGGTTTTTTTTTAAAGGGATACACTGCTTTTTCTACTGTACGTCATTAACTTGGTCCTACCATCTCTTCTTAAATAAAAAGTATGTGTGAGGCCCAAGGACTGAGTGAAGACCTCAGATGTGCCTTGTTGACGATTCCTCAGTGACCGCTTTCTTATCTGCTATCGGTAAGTGGCGAGGTGTCTGTTGACGGACGCTGTTCCGTTTGGTATTAATCCTGTGTTGGGCCAGTGTAATTCAACCAAGCTATTGCTTTTTGCTTCATTATGCAAAGAATAACTCCTGGTTCCTGGAAATAAAGCCTGTCAAACGAGAAGTCACAGGCCATTCCGCGGGCATGCTGTGCACTTAGAGCAAACCTAGCCGAAACCCTCAGAGTTCACTTTCTCACCTCCCGTTTTCATATCAGCATCTGCTGGATTCAATAACTCGTATTATGCAAGCACCACTTTTGTTATTCCTCTATTATTTGTTGCTTGTCAAAATAATCCATTTCTGTTTCATATCCATGGGCAATAAAGCAATTCTGGTAAAAAAAAAAATCCACGAAGCAAATTGCAAAGCAGTTTGTTCTGTCAGAAAATTAACACAGTACCAGCTACCTTCACTACTTTTCTCTGCAGGGGCACAGCAAAGGCCCTAGTCCCTTCACTCATTCTTGAGTGTCTTAGAGGAAATTTTCTGAATAGTGGACCTATGGAAAACAACTCCGGGATTATATTATACTGCAATTATCTGTAATTCAATATACCTATGTTTAAATTATAGGTGTCCAATACGCAAATCCAATTTTCCAACTATTTTTTCAAAGGTGCCTTTTGGGCAGTGACCATCCTGGAGACAAGTAAGTGGTTCAGTTTTGGCTATCCTGGTTCTTGCCTTTTGTATTTTTGATGTGATAACTTCATGTTTGAGGAGCATTTTACTTTTTATGTACATTTCATCTATCATATTGCACAAAAAATGACGAAACCTCAAATCTTGTCACCTCTCTGTCCAGCTATAGTTACATACGTGGAGTTTCAATAGCTTCAACAAATATAACCTTCTAATAATATTTAGCAACATTAAATCATGCACACATGCATTCCCCCAAAACAGTCTTTCTACTGAGGCAAGTTTGCCAATCCCAACAGCACTCCCTACCACGACAGGGAATATACACTATTTCTGACCTTCACCATGGTACAACCATATGAGAACGATGAGAGTGCAACTAAAATAAATGCGTTTGTGTGATGCCTGCTCTAAGTATCCCAGAGTATTGCTACAGTTGAAAAAAAAAAAACGTTATCATGACCTAAAAACATCTACATATAAGCACTTCTTTATAGAGAACTTTTGCCTTCTGGCCTGGTTTTTAAAGGGGAAAGGAAAGAGAGTAAAATAAAGTAGAATGTGAGAAGGCCTTTCCTATTTGAAAAATTCTTCTTATCTAGCTAAATGCCAGGGAGTTTTGTTATCACTAGGGCAAATCACTCAAAAACTATGGTACACTTAGCTTTTTTATCTGTTTTCATGCATAATATTACACACTGCAAAATATTACTGTTGATGAGTACATAATTATGTAAGCCTTTTATCCTACTGAACAGAAAAATCCAAAACTGTTGTTGCTAGTACCAAGGTATAGCTTATTAGTCCAACTTTCCTTGTGTTAATACATAACAGCTCACATAACAAAAAAAGCTGCTGTATTGGCAAAGGAATAAATAATAAAATCATTTTATCATTAGATAATTAACCCTACTGAAATTAATTTAGAAGCTATGGATCATCGCAGGTTTCAACTTTATCTAAACTGAAAGTTTATTCATACCAATACTGTAATTACATTAAGAAAATCTGTGTAAATAGCACATTTTTTTAATTCAAAGTAGCATCTATTTCCCTGAGGCTGAAGAGCTTGGTCAGTCAATAGATTAATACATACTGTCATGTAATACCTGTGATAATTTAAGCAGCTAGTAAAATTCAGTAGTGGATAACACCAGGGTAAAACACAATCCTGAAAAAAACATTTGTCAGTCTTTGTAAAAGATGACAGGTATTTGAATAGGGAAGTGGCTGAAGTGCAGCTCTCAAAAGATGCAAGACAGAAGTGGAAGCAATGTTGTATCCCTGACAAATGTTAGACCACTTTAAAATGACAGAACTAAATTATGTTATATCCAATACTATGTGGACTTAATAGTTTTTTTGATAAGGAGGGAGAATCCTTTTGCTAGAGAAAGATAGAAACTGAGACGCTCATTCACTATTACTGCAGAATTATGTCAAACAGGTACCACGAGCTTTTCCACAATCTGATCATTTGATCCAAAAGCCATTAAAAGGAAAGATGTGATAAAGTTTGTTTCTACAAACACAGTATTAGCAGAATGAAAAGAAAACCTTGCAGAACCATGCTTTCATTTGTCCTACCTTCATAACGGCATTAATGAGAGTATTAACGTGAGGACGCATTAAATGTCCTTCTAGAATGCCTACAGTGACCAACATATAATAACTTAAAAACTCAAAGAAGCTCTTCATGGTTGAAATAGAATTTTGAAAGTGATCTTTCAGACCACTAATCCACACTTTTAAAAATCTGTGTGAAGCAGCTGTGGTATCAAGGATCTGTTAAATTTGAATTAGTTTTGACTCCTTTGCACCTACAGTCGCAGCCTATTTTATCAAACTGCAGTCTGCTTCGAAACTACGAATATTCACTGACTGCAAAACATTCTCATTTTAAAAAGAGATTATTTTTTGCTCTTTGCCCATTCAAGAGGTGTCCTACTGCAAAGTGAATGGCTATTGATACCCCCAAGAAACCGCTGACAGCCTTCCCTCGGTATTTAAGCAGATAAAAATGAATTTGTGTTTCTCACTGATATTCTTACAAGGATTGACAGTGTAAGTACTTACTTGAACTTCTCAGTAAAATTTTCACTAGGAGACAATCACGATGTAGCAATGTTTCCAACAGCAAGTTCAAATTACAGTACGGCTGGGATAAGAGCAGTTTCAGCTGACCCTGGGCTGCCATTTCTCTGGCTGATGGAGTCCTTTCAAAATGCAAGATAAAAACAGAATAATGTAGTTAATTTATCTATGAAATTAATATCCTTAAAGTGCAGATGTAATGCTAACTCCCTTAAATGTCAATTCCTCCCAGATTACTCTGAAAACGCTTTCATGCTTGCTTACTTTAAGGCAGCTCAGGGAAGGAATTACATTTAATCTCAACTAGCTAAAAGCAAATTAACATTTGGTAGTCTGCCAAAGTTATAACTGATACAAAGCAACCTCACTTATCTCTTTCATGGAACCATGTTTGCCTTGTTCTACCAGGCAAAAAGGGGGTTTTTTTTGTGCTTGAATAAATTTAAGGCTATTATTCTTTAGTTCACTATTACATTAATTGTTTAGTAAGAGCTCTGAAGTGTCCTTGATGAAGTATATGAAGCTCTTAATTAAAAAAAAAACAGAATGCTCAAAGGGGCTGCACGATTCCACATTAGGTTGACCAATTCTTACACATCCTGAAAAATCCACCTGAAATATTAGACTGGTTGGGTAACTGCTTTGCCAGCTGGGAGAAGTGAGAAAGCACAGTACAAATTCATCAGCCTTTAAGGCGACTGTAGTTTGTTTTCTGCTTGCAGATTCTGCGTTCTGCGAAAGTTTAGCTTTCCAAACAAAAATATTCCAGGGCTTCCTCTGAACTCAGCCAAAGACCTAACACCAATTGTTGGATTCACATTGGAGCAATTAGGTGGAAAGAAAAAAAAAAAAAAAAAAAGAATTACCCACAACCCAGTTTTGAAAGTTAAAAAAAAATGTTTCAAGAAGGAAATTTTTTTTTTTCTTGAAAGCTTAATTTTTAATTATTTTGAAGGTTTTAAAATTAAATTTCAACAGATGTTTATCCACTGTATTTATTCATTTCGGCTACAGGTTTACACAACAATAGGTGCTAACACTAAAAGTTTATGCACTGCATGCGTAAAGCTTTACGCACATAATTTTTACACGCGCCGGTGTAAATGCTGCATATGCACCGATGCATGAGCTGTGCAGGCATCAACACTGCCTGCCAGTCACACACAACACCCTCCGCATCAGTTAAAGCCTTCTTCACCAGGAGTGACGTTTTCCTGTTGGAGAAGGGTTCATGTGCCTCTGCACATATGCTGTGTGTGCCATTTACACACAACCGTTGGGCCAGAACTAAAATGGGTTCACGTGGTTGTTCTAGCAGAGGGGAACTCCTCTGTCACGTTGCACAATTCTATGCCTCTGACTCAGGCAAGTCCGTCACCACCCAACCCTGCCTGTATGCACACGTGAAAAAATAAAAACCAGAGATGACTGCACAAAACCTTTGCTGTTCAGTCAAGGTTGCCATATAGACAATATACCTAATGGAAATGAAAATGCCAGGGGATACGCTCCTCTAGCTGAGTCCCTCGCATGCATGTCTGTATCCTTCCATTACCAAAAAAGCAGTATGCCACGTATCTTGCAGGGCAACCTTGAAGTAACCTAAGGAAACCCGAGCTTCCATAACCCCATTTTCCCAGCAGGACCTTTACAACATGTATTATGTCAAAACTTCACAGTTAATACTGTAATAGTCACTTTGGTAAAAAGGAGGATTTTATACGCCACAGCTTTTGGGATTTTAACAGTAACACAAGTACCGATGAGGCGATAAGCAACGTATGTGCCATGGAAACTTACGTGCAGTTTTTGTGATTTTCATCTGGCACATGATATATCATCATTAATTATGTAGCACTGGCTTGACCATTATATTTTTGCATATAAGAATATACTGGATTCTAATAACATTTATAAAAAATATACACTTAAATCTTGATAGAACTTGCAGCCAAAATAACTTTTCCATATATAAACCACACATTGCTTTCAAACTTCCAACATCAGGGCTTTGCATTCTTAATAGTATTATCTTAATTTCTGTGTGTTCAAGATTAGTTGCATATATCTACAAATTCTAACGCACGTTAAGAACTAATTAGTGGTTAGTTTAAATTAAAACAATTACTATATTCACACTAGAATTAGTTCTGTGGTTGAGAGCAAACTCAACACATCACTAATTCGGTTAAAATATACGGTCCAGTTTCTTTTTGTTTCTCCCCTGAATGCCACATTATCATATCTAATAAGGTCACTCACCGCCTTCAAACCACAAGAAAAGGGACCGGTTTGGTCAATTAGATTTGTGAAGGATAATATTTTAAATGACTTTAGAAATAGATGCCATTTTTAGAATATTTGAGTTGAAATAAAACTTGTCTGTCATTGACCAGATGGGAAGTTATCATGTTGTAATATACACCAGTTCTTGGCTCTTTAAGCCTCTTGCAAATTGAAATGTACAATGGTGTGACTCACTTGGAGGAAAAATAAAATATAGCAGACATTCCCTACAGCCATGAAGCTAGCACCAATAAATGCACTGAGAAGTTTTGTAACGTGCATATGGAGAGGCATATGTTCTCCCATCCTCGTAGCTCAGTACTAGTGAAAATAAGACTAGCCTCATAAAAAGTGACAAAAGGTGAAGTACATATAAATATCACACATATAAATGTTCAGTTTTGTACAGTAAAAGAAAAAAAAAAAACAAAAAAAAACCCCCAACAACCCAGAACTCTCATTTGCAAATGGTAAGATTATAAACCCCAAATGAAGCAAAGAATGAATTGCAATTACCACTAAAGGAACTGCCATACAAATTATCAGTAATTATTTAGTTTGATAACCAACTATGGTTTTTTGGTTAGTATCCAAGATAGAAAATAAAAGAAAACCTCAGATGATAAGTTCACAATTTTAGAAGGCAAATAAACATTAACGCTAATCCATGTTAACAACGTCGACAGAGATGCTGAAGTCAAAAGAGAACATACTGTAGCCATTTTTAAGCACAAAAAATAATGCAGTAAATCCAGTTAAACAGTGAAATTGCAAACCAAACCGTTTCAGGGACTAGCACAGATTTCTCTTGAAACACCAAGTTTAGGAAGAGCAAACACTTAATAGTTACCTTCACGCCAGGTTAGAGTCTTCAGTTAAAAATTAGGTGGCCATAGCTGGGAGGTCTACAAGGGCCTATGTTTCCAATTCCCTTACAGACAACGAATACACATTTTTATTAAACGTTAAGAAGTAAAACCATAAAAAAAATCCAGGAAGGATTAGAATGCTCTAAAAATAGTTTTCTGCAAGACATAACATGTCTTGTTAATACTCTAAATGCAATATTTCAAGAGAGAAAAGCTTCCATGACATAAGCAGACAGTGTAAAGCTTATAATAAAATTAGAACACCTCAGAATATGTCCTTCAAATTACTTCATTACATACAGGGTCTTTCCCTGTTTTTTTCTGAGCAGCTGAAAGGTGTGTTGTTCGAAGAAAACATTAAATATTTTAGCAACGTAGCTCATTCATTATCACGAGGACAGTAAATGTGGCTTTATGTATACGGACTGTCCTCACCAACTGAATCTCCTTAGAAATGTGTTCTTTTGGACTCATTTTCCCATTTGGTGGTCAAAAATATGTATATTTTCCCACTTTCCATCCAGGGAAGGTATGAAAATGATGGACAGCTCTGGAATATTTTTCTGCTATTTATTCAAGAGAAATCTGTCCTAAATAGCATCTGTAAAATCCTAATTCCACCTCAAAAAAGGGAATTATGTCAGACTGACGCGGTACCATCATTTCCTTTACATACTTTAACGCAGCAGAGGGTACCGACTTGTGTAGTCATCATCTAAAACTGTTAATTCACAGCATAATTTAAATTTTGAGTACTGGCCTTGGATTAGGGCATCAAAAAGCTTACAGTCTTTTCTACAATGAGTCCTTAATGAAGCATAAATTTTCCCAGAAATAGAGTAGATCCTGTTTCAAGTGATCATGCAGTCATTCCTTCTCCAATATGCCCCCCTTCTCCTCTCCTTTCTCTCCACCCATGCACAACTTACAAAGCCACTGACAAATTTCCTTGAAGCTCGATTGAGAGGTAAAAACACATGATCTTTCAAGCTTTAGAAAAACTTAAATTACTATTTCAAGCAGGGAAAAGGACACATTCGGGATTCGACAGTTATTCACCCTGGCATTTCAGTTAGCTAACCACACAATTTTGACTCAGCCACCGCATCCACAGCCTCTGGCTCAGCGGGTATCGCCAGGGAAGGAGATAACAGGACTGCTGACACACACTTAGGGGTGAAGGCTGCTTACCGGACAGTAACCAGCATGTTTTGTGTTGTACAGGGCAAAATCACAGGGCAGACACTGGGAGGCACAAGGTGCAAGACGCTGTGTGTAAAGGTAAGAGGTAATAAACCCACAGAACATTGGCCATCAATAGGTCACCACAGGTCACCACCCATATGATAACGCATTCCTCCAAAATATAAAAATACTTTCTCAGAAAACACAATAAAAACTCACAAAAAAAAAACCAAAACCAACCAACTTTCCATGAAAATGGAGAGCGAAAAATCTCTCAGGAAATAACTTCTGAAGAGGAGGAGGAGGTGAAGGGGTTAGGAAAGGATCTACACTGGTGTGGGAGTGCTTCAGGTTCAAAATTAGAAAGGGAATGACAGCACAGCTGGTAGCATATGTCTCATATGTAACTTGTCATTATATGCAGTGACACAGAAAAAGAAATTAAGCTTTTTCCTCTAATCATGCAGTAATCTCCCAAAAAATCAACTACGACCAAGCACCATAGTTTTCAATGAGTTATTTATATATCAAACCTTTTTTTTTTTTTTTAACCAGCAATCATAAACAGAGGCATACATTCTTTATCTCCCCTTTAATTATAAGTCCTTCAAAACAGCAACTGTGCTGAACCACATTATTGTCAAGAGCTATATACTCTTTAATTAAAAGAAGAAAACCTTACAGATAATTCAAATACCAAACATAATGAATATACTAGCAAAAAGCTGCAGAGTGCACTACTTTCAGTGTGACCTTTCTTACACACTCTTAGATTTTAAAGATTAGGGAAATCTGCAATGAATTTTAAAAATCTTTCTATCTGTGTTTTTTTTTTAATCAGAATATTAATTAACATTTATCGAGCTATACTCTTTTCAAAGTGTTGTAACAGTATTTGACAGATGTTGACTATCTGATTCTTTTTAACACAATCAACTTCTGATACTCACTTCAGTGGGGAAGAGCAGGACGATGGTATGCAAAATAACCAGTGCAGTGGATAATAAAAGACCTTTGAAAAATCTCGAGGAAGATGTTTGTCAGAAATGTCCAGGAAGGTCCTGAAAAACACCAAATAGTTCTGAGTTACATGGAAGACTGCAAATCCCTTCCGATCACCGGTACTAAATGCATATAAATAGAAGACAGAAAATTCCCTAAGGTAAATAATACTAATATATGTATGCATACAGATAATTGAAAATTTATTTATCTTATGTACTGTTAAAAACGCCATTCTATAGCTTATTTACTTTTACTCTTTGAAAATTGGTATCTAGCACTGCTAGTATTGTTAAAGCAGTTGCCTTCATATTTTTACTCCTAAACAGCACCTCCCCAAACTATGTTTGAAAATGCACTGAATAATCAAATTGCTCTTCAGTCATTCAGTTCTATAGCTCTTTTCTTTGTGCATAACACACACACACACACACCATACTATCAATACTTCTATCATAATCATAAGTAAAATATCTTTAGAAAGGATAATGGTTCTCTTCTGAATAACATGCAAGTACGTTAGGCTTTGGATTAAACTGGACAAAAATTTGAACCTTAAGCTTGGACCTTCACTGGCGTACGAAAAATAGAATACTCGCTGAAAAAAACCCCTGCTGTTTTCAAATGTAAGGACTGGTGAAGAAATAGATAGATAGTTTTATGTCACTTCTGCATTATTTCTCTTACCCAAAGAATGTGAGAGGCAAAAATCAGAGGTGTCTGATCCACTGATACTAAAAATTAACTATTTTTATTAATTATTGATACTATATGATTATAAATATATATAAGAACAAGATTATAGAATTTATTTTCTTCATTTAAATATTAATTAGTAATAAAAGATAATACATGTAGTATTGGTACAATTATTAGCAACCACTAGGACACAATCATGTGTGATAGAAATGGATGCTCCTTGGCCTCTCTCCTTTTTACTCTCACTTCCCTTGGATACAGTTCCAGCAGAGAGGATATAGTCTGTAACATACACCCTCCATTAACCATCATCAATTACCACCTCTTTTCACCTTACTTTTCAACTTACTTGGCTGTGAATTTTTCATCATAATACCTTTCCTTCGCTTGTTTCTTTATGTATCATGGCCGGGATTTTCTAAGCTCACAAAGAAGGTAACTACCTTTAAAAATGACACTTCTGCAGAGCTCATTTATGGTACATTTGCTTTACTTTCTGGAGTGGTCCAATGTCATTCCCACTTCTGAGTCAGTACTCTTTCTATTGCAGTATGAGCAGGACATTTAAAAATACGTCAGGAAAATAAATGAGGACAAGACTCAGGACAAGAGTATCTTTTTACAAGACATTAAAAAAAGAAGACACTGCCACAACATGGGAACAGTGAGAATGGATCTGAACACTTAAAACTGGAGACTGGAAACCCATTGGAGTACAGCCCGCAGGAACTCCTAACCTAAAAGGTAAAATCTCCTCTTCCTTACAGGGTGCTTCGTCACCACGACATTAATAGTATTTCCATTTTGTCATTTAATTATTTAAAATTACCTTTTAACTTTTTCACAGCTGCACGTAAGTAATTTAGAAGTGTGGCTACATGTCTATAAGGTCACTGTCTGTCTGTAAGACCCCAGATGAAAGAAGAGAGAGAATTACACTTGTTCAATAAGAAAGACAGGGGTATAGCTTCTGAACTTCTCCAAAGGGCAGGGCGATTTCTTTGGAAATTAATTTTACTAATCAAACAAAATTAGCAGGAAGAATTCACTACAGACTTCAAAATGATCGTAAGTAAGCAATTATCTGAGCAGAAGGATGAGCACATAGTGAATTTGTGGATTCATGAAAACCTGAGGATTAAAAATAAAGCTGAGACTGTAATATAGATAAACGGAGAACTTAAACCAGAAAATAGAAAAGACAGTCATTTCCACACTGTGAGAAAATTAAAGGAAAAAAATCTTATTGTCTCTCATCCTCTGAAATATTTTTCTTAATGTTCCAATGTGTAGAGCCGACTTCATACAAGAAAGCATGACAGATACAATCTGGATAGCCATCTAATAAAAAGAGACCACACCTTGTGTGCTGATAGTGTATGAACTGTTTGAGAGACTCCTGGGCTAAAGCAGTTTGTTAAGTATGGTTTCTTAACTGCCTCCTGAGGAAAAGCACAGGGCAGAATTTCAGACTCTGAGGCTTATAACAAATCCTCTACACAAATTTTTAAACCAAGATGCAGACAATCTGAGAGCTTTAAAGATTGTTTAAATACCAGAATAACTTCACGTGCTATAAAAAAAAAATCAAGTGTCTAATGATAATACAATAATTCCGGTGCCAGCATGTCTCAGTGTCCACTGCTAGCTATGTAATTCCTGCCAGGAAAACCCAACTCTGTGCCAGACAGTTTAATTCAATGACTCTTCTGACAGAAGTATAATAATAGCTAGTAGGAAATTTGTTTTGACTACAAGTTATGTTAAAGCAGCTGCCTATAGTCTCAAAGCAGTGGATAGCATCTGTGAAAGTATTTAATACCACAGCAAGATTCCAAGTTACAGTACTTTTATTCTTCAGTAGAGTATGACAAGGTGAGAATTGATCTTGTAAGCCTCAGTGCAGGTGTGAAAAAATGAGATGCCAGCAAGATGCATCCTAATGGTATTTCCTTGTAGACTTCAAAGGATTTAGCTCTGTATAGGGAAAATACATGACTAAAAATCAACTTAATGAATTATAACTCTTGTATGTTGAAATTAAGATAAATATTTTCAGTTTTGAAAATTGAATGAGAGATATTTTTACCCAGTAGATGGCAATTTTACCAATAGAATCTCTAAATTATTCTCTCAGCATTCAAGTGACTCACCTGGTTTCTTGTTGAGAAAGCAAGATATAACAATTCGTAGTATGAAATCGTGGAAAGGTGCATCCACCTCACTCTTTATGATCTTGCCTAACAGAAAGGTTGTCATCTCCTACTCAGTACAAAAGACTAAAGAATATTAAAAAAATCCCAAGAATAGATCTGCTCCAACTTCAGCAACCCTCAACGTGGTGCAGTCTCAACTCTGAAGTCAAAAACGGGTCTGTGGTACTGCCAGCCTGCCTCTCCTGGATAATTTCATTCTGTGAAAAATAATGAATGAAGAATAGCATCGGATTCTCCTACAAAATTCACAGGGGGCACTGAAACTATTAGATCCGCTGCACAAAACCCAGCTCATTGAACTGAGTAACAGAGAACAACCTAGTCCGTCGGTAAGACTACGATGACTGGAAACTGTGAGGAATGAAAAGCAGCAAGGAAACAGCAACACCTGGTAGTTTTGGGGAGCACGTACTGGAGACTGCTGTTGTTCAACAGCTTCCTGAACAACGAGGACAAAAGCGGGCAGACAGAACACACGTTTAGGACGTTTGCAGGTGACACTAAACCGGGGGAAGCGAGCGCAGTGGAGTGCCAAGTCATGGATGACTGGGCCAACAGGGACCCACAAAGTTCACTGAAGTAAAGTGCAACTTTTTGCTCCGGCAACAGAATTATGATAAACTAGGCTGGGAACTGACTGTCTGAGTACCAGCCCGACTCAACCCCAAGCCTGGGGTTTATGGCCAGTGGGGTGTTGAATACGAGGCAGCAGTGCATTCCCACAAGAAACAACACAAACCACACACTGGGCTGCATTAGGAGAAGTATGGCAAGCAAACTAAACATAGTGATCCACTTCACCTGTTTGGCAACAGTTAAGCCTTACCTAGAATATTTTGTCCAGGTGTTGAGCCTACAACTCAGGGAGGATGTGAGGAAACTGGAAAGGACTAGACTGCATCACCTATGACAAGAGGTTGAGGGATCTAGGCTCTTGTACTCTGGAGAAGAGGAGGCTGCAGGGTCATCTAATGGATGGCCACAACTCCTCAAGGAGTAACGACAAAGACAACATGGACGAACTTTGCTCAGCTGGGGCTACTGTGATAGAGCAGGACACAGCCAGCAGCTTTGAAGGTTCACACTAGGCGTGAGGCAATACTTTGCTCTAAAGCTGTGGAACAGTTTTCCAGGAGAGGGTGTAAAATCTCCGTTCCTGGAGGTTTACACGAGTCAGCTAACGCAGCCATGTACGATTCCTCTTGGAGATTGTCCTGCTTTGAGAGAGAGGTTGAAATTGGTGACCTCCAGTCCATTCCAACCAACATCTCTGTTATGCTGAAGTTACTTCAGGAAGACCAGAGAAGGGTGGAGGGAAGTGAAGCACAGAAAAACGAGTATAAAGAACTGATGACCCAAGATTCATAGGTGAATTTAGGACCTAAGTAGCTTTGTCGTACAGAAAAGAAACTTCAAGTGACAGCAGAATGCACAACATTTGATCACAAAATTAGGAAGGAGAAAGCATATGCCAGAATCACTTTATTTCAAGTTAAGGATATTATAAATTTTTCAGCACCCCTACTATTCTGTTGCCTTTCAACAACATAATAAAGAATCTCGAATAATTTTAATTCCCTGGAAGCAATAGTTAATACAGCATCTCTAGTAAGTTGGAAACGAGCCAGTCCTATTATTAGACAACGCCTGGAAAACAATGTTCTGTCACCACTGCTTTTATGATTACACAAAAATTTCCTGAGCAGTCTAAAGATTAATTTAAACCTAGCCCCTTCAGGGAAATCTTCTAGTACCAAAAGAAAGCGCGATAGATTTAAAAGAAAAATCTTTATTTCACTTCCAGTTAATTTTACCAAAGTTTTGAAAGATATAAAGCCAAGATAACAGATGGAAATTTTGATTATACAGCTGTAATTGTAAAGAGAACTGATGAAGGATTAGTATTCCTTTAAAATCATGCATAACTTCTAAATATGTTATTGATAGATTGTTAACGTGATGAACTATTCACAAGTCAGCGAATAATGGACCTAGGAATTCAACATAAAATTCAGTATATGAAAGTGTTTCTGACTGGATAGAGTTGTTCAAGAAGCTAACTTGGTAAATCTGTTTTTTCTTTGTATTCTAGACACTGGGTTAGGCTACCTGACAAATATTTGCTGTAATGAAACATGCAATCTAAAGTAACTGTTTTGATAGTGGAATCTCACAGGTTTTGAAAACAAAAGCTCTGAACATGCAATTCATTAAAAAAATATCCTTTTTTTTTTACGTACACAAAAACATGCATCATCCCCCTAACAATGTTTTCTAGTGTTAATATAATTTTTGTAACTATATAACAAAATGTGACATTTTTTTGCATTCTTAGGCAAAGCCGTCAGATTTTGGTTATGATTTGCAGAGTACTTTGTAGTAAATTAAACGAGCCGCTACATCCTGTGCATGTCGAATTTTGGATCTCTAGAAAAAGCAAATTAGGACGCTGAAATTTGTACGCCTAAATATGAAACCTAGATGACCAAGTTGTTAATCTGCAGCATTACACATAAAATACAAAAGACGCTGCCTCGCTCCCTCCATTGGCACTTTGTTCTGAAAGTCAGCGAGTTCAGTTAGCTCACTTTTTTAATCATTCCAGGCACAGATAAATCTGTGAACAACATGGATTAGTGGAGGAATAGCTAAAAGGAACAGACTACGATATATATTTATTTTAGTCCATCATTCTAAGGGCATTCATAAAGGAAAGGTGAAATGTCAGAATTGACAGTAGAAGCAGTTGCAGCTACCAGAACGTCCACTTTAATATTGGCACGGCAGGACTACATTATCTGTTCATGAGTCACCTTCTTAATTGCTATTTTTTCGTGACCCTGCGTTGTATAAGATCAAACATCCAGTTACAATCCACTTTTGCATGTTCCTCAGAGCCCACAAATATTAAGATGAGCCCACACACGACAAAATATATCTCATTAAAGAAGTTTAAATGCAGGAGGTCTCCACCCTCCTCTTTGTACTGCTAGCATTACCTAGAATTTTCTCATTTAGAATAATAAAATAAAAGTCAGTTGGATAGGATTTGACTTTCTGAAGTTTTGGGTTTCACTGTTGTTTTCTGAATTTGTGATCTCATTATGTACTCTTTCTTACAACAGACTTACAGCAGAATTTTTAAGCATGAATGTGCTGGTTTTGGCTGGGGTACAGTTAATTTTCTTCACAGTAGCTGGTGTGGGGCTGTGTTTCGGATTTGTGCTGAAAAGTGTTGACGACTCAGGGGTGTTCGGTTCTGCTGAGCCTTTCCCGCCCCTCGCCCCACCCGCCATGGCCGGGGGTGCACAAGGAGTCGGGGGGGGACACGGCCGGGAGAGCTGCCCCCAGGGATGTCCCACACCGTACGGCCTCACGCCCAGCAGACAGAGCTGGGGAGGAAGAATGAGGAAGGGGGGATGTTCGGAGTGATGCTTTGTCTGCCCAAGTCACCGTTACGGTGACGGGGCCCGGCTGGCCTGGGGGTGGGCGAGCGCCTGCCTGCCCGTGGAAGTGGGGAGCGAATTCCCTGCTTTGCTTTGCTTGTGTGTGTGGCTTTGCCTTCACCTATTAAACTGTCTTCAGCTCAACCCACGAGTTTTCTCACTTTTACTCTTCTGATTCTCTCCCACATCCCACCAGGAGCAGTGAGGGAGCAGCTGGGCTTCAACCATGACAATGAAAAAGCAGTGAAAGGCTCAGACCCAACTTCTGTGCAAGTAACGTGTCCTTCTGTTCACAGCTGTGACTTGTGAAGACATCATTTTATACAGATGGGCACTATATACTCTCTATCTTTTAAACTATATTTAATAGTTTTCAAACATACTGACCATGTAACTAGATGATGATTTCAGTAAATTATCTTTAAGTTCCAGTATTTATAGAATTATCATAGGATGACGGCAGAACATTCTAATTTACCCGGAAGCTGAACGTAGATAAATCTGAATTAGTAAAAAGAAAAGTTTTTTCCAACTGTATGTGTGACTAAGTCCTTGAAAATCTTACCAAAGGCCTTGGTACCATAGTAGTAAATGTTTTTAGACCGATACGAACATATTTCTAACAAAATATGTCCTAACTGAACAGTAAATAGCAAATTTGGGACAGTAATTATCAATGAAATTTCAGGGTTTGTGTTACAGAGGAAATCAAACCAGACATTCATTCACTATAATCTATGTTATCACCAAGCAAAAAATGTGCAGTATAGCAGTTTGATCCACAGCTAATAAAATCCCGACAGACATAATTGGGCTTTAGGTAAGAGCATAAAGATAAGTTCAAGAACAAATCGAGAAATGGTCAAAGGTTATCAAAATGTGTCAGTGCTATGCACTGCATTTTTATTTCAACACAATTATTCAGCTTGTAGATCTAACCATGTAAGCTCAAGAACCAATTTCATCTCAAACCGAATGTTTCTTTCATACTCACTCATACAAATTCTTCAGTGGTGAAGTTAAAACAGCCAGCACAGAGAGCAGACTATTGCAGTGGCTGTGTATTTTATAGATCTTGAGATCTCTGTCTTCATGTGGATTCAGAAACTCTTGTACAGAGCGGCAAATTGACCAGAGCATATCTTCAGTGGACATCAAAATAGATGCAATATCAATTCTGTAGGGAGGGGGGGAAAAAAAAAAAAAAAAAAAAAGTGAAAATAACATTACTTAGGACATCAAGATAGTGGTAAATTTCAGCTAAAGAGACCTTTCCTCTGACAGCATAAAACACCTAAATCATAGCATGGACTTCAAATTTCATCTTCTGTCAGCGGTGCAGGAATTCTGAATCCACTACACTGTAAAAATTCAGTGCTTCCACAGAAAAGTTACTACTGAAACTAGTCAAGACCTAACAAATATGGAAATTTCCTGTGCCAAAGGAGAATGCCACTAGACAGGAACAACTTACCTTGTAAACTACAACTAAATAAAAAGAAATTTAGTTCTTTTCTTTCATTTTTAAAAAAGAAAATGAAGACCCAGGGAACTACAGGCCAGTCAGTCTCACCTCTGTGCCTGGCAAGATCACAGAGAAGACCCTCCTGAAACTCTGCTGGGGCACAAGGACAATAAGGAGGAGATTGGTGGCAGCCAACGTGGCTTCACTCAGGGCAAATCCTGCCTGATGGATGTGGTGGCCTTCGACAAGGGGGTCACAGCTTTTTATGATAAAGTATAATTAGAATGCACACTGTAATTTCAAATCCTGCTGCAGCAGAGATGTCATGACAAGCAAACTAAACCTTCAGTTTGCAAAACTTTCAACTGCCAGGCAACATACTATGATGTGGAACACTTCTGAGTCAGTCACCCGTTGCCTGTTGCTGTCGGCCGGCAGAGCATCATGGGTCACTGGCATAAACAATACCAAGAACTAAACGACGACACAATCCCACAAGACTGTGCTGACATATAACAGACAGGAAACAGATGGATAACACAAAATATATGGCGGGCATGAAGTCGGACTGAATGAAGTACCTAAGTACCTAAAAGCCAATGGATGCATACGCGATCATCTGCATTTTTAAGGCTCTTCTTATTTTTGGAAAACCTAGTCAAACACACACGAACAGACGTTTGTCTGTATTACAGATCGTATCGGTAACATCGCAAGAATCACTGGGAGAAAAGACACTCCACCTCCAAACGTAGAGTATTATAAGAAAACCTAAGTAAAACCTCTGTGATAAACATATATTGAATTATATTAATTTAAAAAATGTTTTTCCCATTTGCCCATAACTAGATAATTCAATTCAGTTAGTGACAAACTTAAGAATCACCTTATTAAATAAAATAGCTTCTCTACAAAATGACAATGTAAGAAATTCTTTCTTATTCAGTATTTGAAGAAAATTTGTATAGAATTGACTAAATTTAAGAAATACTGTATCAATACATATTCTTCATATTTCAGGTGGTTTTTTTTTCCCGGGAAACTTCCAGGAAGGTTTCCAGGAAACCTCTCTGTACCTAAAGATATAGAAGGGCTTAATCAGGTAAATTAGTGCAGGGACAGAGCATATGAACAGGTATTCTGACACATAGAATAAAACTTCAGTGTTTTCCCACCTATTGCAAGAATGTGAACTTGTACAAGTTACTTAAGCTTCCACAACATTGCTCCTTTTCATAATAAAAATTATGATGACAGCAGGTAACTCTCAGCTCACACAGAACATATCTCCGCTGAGTGACTCATCTACTACAAAGGAGAAGCTCTTAGGTTTTTAACTCGCATGGCCACCATGAACTATATCACTTTCAAAATCTAAAAAGAGGAGCACACTGATATATGAAAGACATATAGCTAATGGACAGAATGAGAAATACACCAATTTCTTCAGTAAAACAAGACATCGGATAGAAAGAGAAAGGACAGAGGTAGGAGCTGCCACCTGGAGACAACCTGCTTTAGTACTTCTTAAAGAGACCTTCTTTAACAAAACGTAAGAATCCCAACAAGAACTTCCAGCTTATTTCCTAAAATGACAGGAGAAGGAATAGCCTCTTCCTCATCTCTCCTTTTGCACCAATGGCTTCGTTCTGGCAAACCTTTTCACAGAATCACAGAACCATCGAGGTTGGAAAAGCCTTGAAGCTCCTCCAGCCCCACCATGACCCTCCCCCTGACTGTTACCAACTCCCCCAGATCCCTCAGCGCTGGCTCAGCCCGACTCTTCAACCCCCCCAGGGATCCCGGGGACTCCCCCCTGCCCTGGGCAGCCCATTCCAACTCCCAACAGCCCCTTCTGCACAGAAATCCTTCCTCAGAGCCAGCCTGACCCTGCCCTGGGCAGCTTGAGGCCATTCCCTCTTGTCCTATCACTTACTACTTGGTTAAAGAGACTCACCCCCAGTTCTCTTCAACCTCCTTTGATGTGACCTCATAGCTCCTTCACTTGAAACGCCCTATGAAAATCCAAATTCATTGCCACACGTGGAGTTTTCTTCATAAATCGATGTCTTGGTTTCTAATCCTGATGCTGCCAGTTCTGCCCACATTTTTGGTTGTGCCCTGACTCCTCAATGCCCCCACTGTTCGTCACGAGGCTTTCAACCCCGTGAGGCAGTTTATGGTACAATGTCAGCAAGAGTTTAAAAGAGGTCTTTGATTCTGCTCGGTTTAGTACATGACTACTAATTATACTTAAATATACAAAATACACTCAGTAAAATGAACATCAATATACATAAATCGTGCCTATCCCCTCTGCTGTGTTTATTAACATTTAAATTTGAGGTCAAAGTAGCGCGTAACAGAAAACTAAGATCTACTTATTTTATTCATTAAAAGTGTGCATTAAATATCCAACCATTACCTGATTTGTGGTGTTCTCTTGTAACTGGGGCAGGCCTGACAATATCTGGAGCACAGCATAGCCAAAGACTGCTCTAGTACATCTGTAAGAATCTCCTGGGCTGTCTTGGCCGGCAGAATAGTCCACAGATCATGATGAAGGGCACGGCAGAAGTAATGCCACATCTGGACAGAGAATGAGCATCTTTCCCCCTAGCAAAACCACCAGACATTAAATAATAAAAACACACCTTCCAAAACGTCAATTTAGTTCCTCTAAGTCTAATTAATTCAATCTGAAGGGAAATAGCTGAAGAGTTTCAGGCATATGATGACCAAAAAATGGTCCTTGACAAGATGTGAAACATCTTTATTAGCAAGGAAACACATGTTCAGTTTCAGTTACAAAACTAGAGTTCTGTCACAAAATCAAACCACAGCATTTGACCTTTTATACCCCTAATTAACCTATTCTCAGAACCCACAGCGTTCCAATTCCAGTTTAAAAACATACACAGTATTCTGTGCTCAACAGAATACCCAGACTAATTTAATGTAACAGTTTCTTTTGTCATCAGAAGAAAAAAATTATTTCAATTACTTAAGCACATGCATTTCCCCAGACTCAAAATTGCCACATATAACCATGATCATGAAACTTTGGTCATACTTAATGGATGTGCAGTAAGAGCAGAAAAAAAGAAACAATTGAACAATTAAATTGATAATAAGAGATGTCCAGATTTTTTTTGCTATGATTTCTTTTTTCCTCTTAGAATGGTAACTCATTGATAATAAATATATTCCGGGAAGGAATCAGCATTGATATTAATATTTCGTTGCCTATACAGAACTGCCCCAATGAGACACAGATAAATACAGATGAGTCAAAATCATAGTGGTTAATCTATAATACCTCTAAAAAGTACACAGTTGAACTCACATTCAAATTTTCCAGCTAATACCTACCCTGAACATAGCACCGTGATGAAGCTGTATCAGAACAAAGACTTGAATCACCACTTCTCACATTCCAATAGTGTTGACCAATATTTTAAGAATTTGTTGATATTTTAAAACACTGTAAGAGTTTGACGGGCATTATCTAATAAGAATAATAAACCAAAATAATCTGGCTTCTTTTTAAACACACCACATGAGTAGACTATTGGAAGTTGTCATTATGTGGTGTTTCTCTGTCAAAATATTTGAAGTATATTTAATATTAAAAAGGGGTAAATTATGACAAAGAACAGAAGTGCCAAACTTGTGACCATTTCTCTTGTCATTAAATTTATGATTGGCGTAGGCATGTCTAAAATATAATTTAGAAAAAAAAAAATCATTAAAATGTCCGATTTTCCAAGTTTCACTAATTCGGATGAGAAAAATGTAACACAGATAAGTTTCAAAAGAAAATTATATGACTAATTTTCTTCATTCATACAACTTTGGACATTTTGTTACTGTTTTAAGCATGTTTCCACAGGCAAAACAAAAATAATCACTCTGGTGTTTTGAACAATCAAGTACTCAACAAGTGTTTCCACACAGGAAAAATAGGATTGTCTTACACTGACCAAATCGGATATAATAAAATAACGGACATGTTAAAATAATTTCCTATTTTTCTTATATGAAATAAAATTGCAATATTATTGCATGCTATACTGAAACATCATCATAAGAAAGTACAAGATTACTTCATAACTCATAACTTCACAGCTTTTCATAACTCAAATGTCAATACATTTCTGTAAGTTTGTAAGTTCTGAGATTCTTAGATCTATTACCATGACTACTCTTGAGGTACATTCCAGTAGAACCTATCCAGAAACAAACCCCCAACCCTACCTGACAGACATTTCACTAACGTTTCCCTTTTGTTCCAAAAACATTTCAACTTTTACAGAATAAACACACCACCTAAAAACTCATTAGTTTGAATGCCTAATGGAAGCAAGTTTATTTTGGTCATGTCTTTAATTTACAAAAATAAAATGAAAAAAAATTTCAAAAACCGTAAAGACTTAACCACCAGAAATATAATTCTAGATTGACTTTCTAATATATTTACTTTAAGTAAGTGAATGTTGGTGAGTTTTACTTTTTAACTATGGACCTATAAAAACAAATCTCTTCATTTTCTCTGCTTTATTTAATTTAAATCAGTAAATTGAATAATACCCCGTTGCTGACATGATGCCTCCACTGCAGAAGCAACAGTTTCACTGAAGATTTAAATGAGATTTGTTCCCTTTTCTAACCTGTTTTTCTATTTGTTGCCATTTCTAGACAATTCTACGGGTAAACATCTGCTATTTTTGCAGGCTTCATATAAGACAAACAGATGTGAGCTTTTATTTAGCTTATATATCAGGAAAGAAGCAGCTGCGCTTTATTACATAAGCCACTCAATATTATCTTTGAACAGACAATTCTTTATTCTTTGACTATTAGAAAACATAAGTTCCCAAAGCTACAGCAGATGTCTGCTACACTAAAAGCGCCATTCAAAACCGTACTGTGGAGCGCCGGCCCCACGGCACGGTGGGTGTTCGGAGCAGGATCTCCGCCGGCGAGAGCCTCAGCCCCCAGCGCTGCACTCCCGGGCACCTCACGCTCGGTGCCCAGCAGGAGCCGTGCGCTTGGAGCTCAGCTCAGATCTCGCCTTAACACAAACGTGCTACCTGCATCTCACAGAATCTCTGCTAAGCTTTCCTACAAGACATTCAAAACTTCCCGTGATCTCACAGCGATTATCATTCTCTGTGTTTACCCCCCAGTCACGGTTCTTCTTTTCGCTTTTAACTCCAGTCGCCGCTATTGGATTCGGTGCCTGTCAGGGAGGATGGGTGAGCGGTACTGAAATGGGTTATGAAAGTCCAAAAATATTTAAAAATACACTATCCTTATTCTGACAATGTAAAAAATTCTTTTATAGAATGTAATAACCATTTGCTACCAATCTTGTTCTCCTCAGATGTTACCATTGTACAAACAAACACATAAATTGATACGGAAACTGCAGCTCAGTGTAATCAAAGACAGACACTCTCCCCTGCCCCTTCCTCCTTTTCCTTTTTGTCTTTCAGCAGTTTTATCTTCTTCCTGGATGATTTACACATCAAGTTGAGCAGTGTTATTAGTGAATATGTCATTAATGTCAAATGGAAAGGAAGGCTATCCTGTATTCTTCCTAATACCAGTTGAATGTCCTATATTATTGGGGAAAAAGAAGAGAGTAACTTCATGCCAGCCCTGAAGTGTAGGACTGCCATTTAGTTTGTAATTAAGCATGTGATACAAGAATGAGGAAAGAAAGAACGTTCTGCTTATTTCATGGGAGCACAAGGGAATGTATTCTTTTCCTTCTTGAAACTGCACCCAGGATTTACAGATGAGGACTGAATCTTTTACAGCTACATGTAGTACTCAAAACTGGGGGACAATGGGGAAGGGGCAGTGAGGGTCCTGACCTACACTAGGTTCAAGAGACAAGCAGAAGCAGAGAGCCAAGTGCTTCTTCCCCTTAAAGAAACAAGATGAGCTCACTGAAAACAGCCAGAGCTGTGTGCCACTGACTCGCACAAGCCCAGGAGTGTGTGCCCTCTGCGAGAGGAGGAGCTCATACCAGAGCCTGCTCTTGATGACAGGCAAGATCTTCTGGTGCCTGGCTCCAAGCTACTCTTGTTTGCTGAGCTCAGCTGGATCTGTGTGACTTCAGAGGCAGAGCCTCACGGTTCCTGCTGAGCTCAGACCTCAGGAGCCACCTCTCACTGCCAGGAGTTCCAGCAGGATGTTGCCTCTGTAACAAGGTCTGAAGCCAACCTCTTCCATTTGGGATCCCTACAAGAGCTCCATGGAAGCAGGAGCTGCTCAGCATCATGCCTCCTGCAGGCACTCGGAGCAGATCATGGTCCCTGCTTGCACCATGGCCCACGGCCCAGTAAAAAGAGCAGAGTGATGACGTAAAATCGCAGACTTCCCACCTCAAGTCCTGCAAGTGTACAGAGCTGTGATACCAGCTCTCTTCATCCCTCCCTACACATATCAGTTCTGATCAGATGATAAAATGGTTTAGCCAATCACACCCTTTCTTCTTGAGACACTCATGTCTGACAATTAGGTTTCCTCCACGGTGAGTAGTTATTGGGTCACTAATAAACAGGACATGACACCATATGGACTACAGACAGTGAAGATCACATCATGATTTATCAGTTGCCAAAAGCCACTAAATTTCTTATCTTCTTATCAACTCAGAACATCTGGGCTCAGATTCAAACAAAATTAAAATGCTTATTTACTTGTCTTTGAAGCAGGGGCATTTTGATAGATTCCTCATATTAATTTCTGCAACACCTGTTCAGTCACAGATTTTTGTCACTGACTCAGCAGCTTTTGATATTACAACTACAGAATACATGTATCACACAGAGTTTTCTCTCATGTAAGAATTCTGGAAAATGCTTAACAAAACCAGCCTAATTATCTCACACAGCAAATGATAGAAGGGCAGGACTTTGTCTCCAGGAGATCTGTTATTATTGATAGAAAACATGTAATACTTTGACTTCATCCTGAAATTAAGTGAAAATAACTTCAAACAGTATGTCAGTCTATGTCTACATTTAACTGCGACAAAGAAAAAAAACCCAATAAACTCTAGTAATTCACTTGATCTTTAGCGTTTTTTCACAGAACCATTAGGATTATAATTTAAGAGCAGGCACGTGTATTCAAAATGCAGGTGAAATGGATCTGGTTATTTCAGAAATGTATTGTTGAATGCTGAAGGTAACTATAATGACCATCTTTCTTTGTTACATCCTTCACTCACAAAAGGTTAAAAGGGGAACCCACTGAAAACAAAAATCAAAGAATCAGATTTAAAATTTCCAGGATAAAAATAGCTGTCTTTCATTTTCATACGTCACACTTTCTATAACAAGAAGAGTTAAAACGACAGTGTCTTCTTTACTGAGTTCTGCATAAATGTCTTGAACTTGACACAGAATATTTTATTAAGCAAATGACACAAACACTCCTTGGTAATGACTTGTCTCATCCTTAAACAACTATGTTATCCTACATCATTTGTACAGAGACATTTGCCTGCAACCGTAGATATTTCAAAATAGTAAATTCCAATAATCTTTATGTAAAAATAATATTGATCTTATGCTTCTAATTAGTCAGAGAGCTGGCAACCAGTAAAACACATTTTGTAAAAGGGAGGCACAGTAAACTTAACCTCACACCTCATAAAAAGCTTTGTAGTCATCCCAGTGGTGGCTCTCAGCGTCCTGTAAAATGCTTGTAGCACAAACTCTGACGCAGTAGTTCGTAACTTGAAACTGGAGAACGTTGATGAATTCCTGATATTGTTGGACAGGCACTAGGAACAGGGGTCTGTTCAGAGAGAAGGATCAAAGAGGCAAAGATTGAAGGGCTGTGCAGTAGGAGGTAACAATCCCCAGTACTGCAAATGGTTTTGATTATTAGGTATCAATCATTCATTTCCTCTCGGTCCTGGAGTCTGAACCTAGCATTCACTTTTGAAAAATATCTGGTTTTTGTTTCACAAGTTCTTTGAATATATCTGCTCATCTATAAATTCTCATTTAACCAAGTCACTGAGAAATATATTACTTCACCCTATTTTCTGAGACAAAAGTACATTTGTCATTCAGTTAGGAGATTCTGGGTTGAAGCGTAATTGCATCAGCACTGAGTGTGACAAAAAAATCCATAAACACAGAGTCCAGAGATTATTTTTGGTAGGTATGTACTAACACTCTTTCATAATACACATAAGTAGAATTATTGAGCTGTATTTTGTCTCAGACTTCCCATTCACTTCATGCAGGAGGGAGCAAAACATCAGAGGAAAAGTAGCTCAACAGAGCATACAATCCCGTAGAAATCAGGAATTCCCTGAAAATTGCACGAGTTCAGGTGTCCCTCCCAAAAGGAGTTTCTGCTTTTAAATTACACATGCTCAGAAACACACGGACCAATAAAGAGACTCCTAGTGTCTTTAGTCAATATCTCCTAAAGCACAGCAAATGTAGCTATATTGCCCCCCAGGTCAAACACTCTTAGACTTCACTACTCCGTATCTTCTCTAATTTTTATTCTGCATGCAGTGAAAAATAAATTCTAAAACTACATTGGATGTATTTGTTCACATTTCTGAATACCGACAGTGTAAGGGAAAAGTGCAGGAATATATATTTATACTGTCCCCTAAGAATGCTGTGTGCTAAATCAAATTTTATTAAAATTCAGCTATTGCAAAGGTCAGAAAAGGAAATTAAGGCCTTAGCCCTCTACTTATATGAGAGCAGAGTACATTCAGTTCACTGGACAATCCTATTTACTCAAGCTTAATAAATAAAAAATATTGATTTGCGAATCAAATGCAGATCTTAAACATAAATAATTTGTTTTGTAATGGCTGCTTTGGGTTATCAATAGCTTTGATTCAGGTTTTTCCATAAATAGTACGCACAGTGCATGTGCTAAAAAAATATGATGCAATTTGGAAAACTACCACCATGCTGTATCACCAAAATGGAATGAAGTCCTGTATTATTTATGCCTAAATTAAACCGTTATAAGTAGAAGGGACTCACTTTTTGCTCGTTTCTCTCATTAAATTGCTATACATTGTAAAATGCTGAAAGACATATATCGCTGTGGAAAGGACAGCATAGAAGTCTTGCAGGGGAGCCTTGGAGGGAACGTCTTTGCTTTTCTCCTCTAGTCTTGCCAGGACAGCTGTTGCCACTTTGCTGCAGGCCTCTACAAAGTTTGCTCTAATTTCCTGAAGAGAATCATCTCTGCATGCCAGAGCCAATGGAAGCAATGTGTCAAGTTCTTCCATGATGTCAGAACAAAACTGAGAGAAATAAACGTGGCATCAAGTTATTTGTATTCTGACAGCACTGTTTAATTTATACACACTGGGGTCAGATTCCTGAATAATGAAATTGGCATAAAACATAAATATATTAAATCAGCTTTACAAACATTTCATTCTGTTATACAGGGGAGAAACATTTATCTACAGTAAGTGAATTATTATTTCATTCCTTCTTGCTTTAAAGCTGCATAATATATATTGTGGAAAAAATATTAAAACTGTCTTATGCTAGTAATTCCTTCATTTTGTTTATGATTTCATTAGATGTACATTCAAAGCATAAGGTTAATTCCTTGTAAATAAAGATAATCTTCCAAACTAACATATTTTGAAAAATATACAAACACATTTCCTAATACTGAATTTGAAAACAAACTTGCCATCTCTTAGTAAATTCTTACACTAATCTCACTAAAATTATCTCCCAAAAGCCTATGTGTTATTTTAAGCAAACATTCATTACCAGCATTCTAAATTTGCTAGAACAGTTGCAAAGCTTACTAAATAAAAAAAAGCTTTCAAACACATATTCCCTTAGAAAAGCAATTTAATTAATCATCATAAATGACCTTTCAGCCAAATCAAAGAACCCCAATTTGGCCATATTATTGATTATGCTGATTACTTAAATGGCATGTCTAAGGATAGGAATACAGGAAATCCCTTTATAGCCACGCTTCAAAGCTTTCAGCATTTTCCCATCGAAACACTTGGTAACAGAGCAGATACTAATCAGAGCGTTTCAGAACTTTTTGGATGAAAAAAATAATGCCAGCAAAGTTTAGAAGTTAATTCTTTCAAGTAGAGACTATGGGCTATTGTATAAAGCTCTGTTCAGCCTCATAATGTAATGCCTCTCATCTTTATTCTTAATTCCATTTATATAAGAAATAGAATATTAATGGTACTGTAAGTACTTCAAAGTGTAGATGGCAAACAGCCTTGGCATTCTGTCTCCCCTCAAACTTCAGATCTTTTGATACCTGCCTTAGCAATTCGTTTTGGTTGCTCCTCCTGTTGGACTGCTCCGCAGGACTCCCTCATTTGCTGGTTGTTTACAAGACTCAGTGCATAGCCTGCAGCTGAAAACTCTTCTTTCTGCTCATGTTGAAGAATTTTAGTTGAAAAATCCTCGATTGCTATTGTTATACAGTGAGCCACAGAAGCAGACAGGTCTTTAAATGCATTTCTCCAGCCAAAATTCAGAAAAATAGGCTGAAATACATATTTATACTAAATCAATCCAAATTCATTACTGTTATTCTTGTCTGAAACTTATACAAACATCCATAATTAAATACAAGGACACCATCATCTTTGGAAATTCATTTTAATAACTTAAAATGCAGTCTGCTAACCTTGAAATCATATTAAAAGCAGTATACACCCTCAACAAAAATGAAATGAACAACTATTAAATTTGTTATCAAATTTTAAGAAATAGATTTATAAAAAACCCTGTTTAAACAAGGCTGCTTTTTAAAAAGCCGCGCTTCATCTTTACATTATTTATAAACTTTATGGAATCTATTTAACTAAATCAAATACACTTATAATCATTTTCAATAGTCTAACAAGTCATCCAGCAATGGATATCCTGTAATAATTTTCACTGCAAGGTCACAACTGGAAGCTACTAACCATGAATATTAATGGAAAACAGTCAGAGAAACCGGTTTTAACAAAGAGACTCTGGATTTCACTTCTCTATAGCTGGATTTAGCAAAGATTAAAAATGTTTAAATAGAGATTTCCAGTTTTTAGCTAATGCTGGCTTTTACTACAGTTTACATAGTAGGTTCCCTGCCTTCTATAAACAGAGACTTCTGAAGTTTTCTGAAGCGTAACAGTTGTGAGAAGAAGACACAGTAGGACATCATTCCTTTTCCACTAATCTTGCTTTGCTTTGCTCATATGACACGCAGCAGACTTAAACCTTACCATGAGTGGCCAACTGAGAATTGCCCCACTGTAAGAGAAATATTTTAATGACGTAAGATGTATAGAAAAGATCCCCACCATGAGGGCATAGTAGGAGAAAAAACAGAAGCATTCCTAACAAGTTGCAGCTACAGCACTAAATGAGGAGACACTGAAGGCCTATGAAGTGAAGCCCTTCCAGCTTACTCCAGTTTAGAAGCTGCCTCCTCCTTCCTTTCCCTTTCCCCAACTCCCAACACTCAGCTCCAGTGCGCACAGAGACACCACCACCACCACCACCCAGGCACCCGTTTTTGCACTCCCTCTTTTTTTATGTTTTTTGATCTTGGGTCAAGTAAAGCTCAACCTTCTCAAAATACTGTTCTTTGTAATCTGCAAGGTACAGGAACATGAGTCTCACAAACTGATTCAAAGCACATTTTGAAAAGTCGTTTCAGCATTAAAAATGAGCCATTAGGAAATTAAATTCCACTACCACAAAATATCAGACTTGTTAGAGCATTTAGGTCCCATAAACTCAACAATAAAAATTTGTTTAGTATTAAATGGAAGCCAGACTAAAACTTCATTTTGTACATGCTTTCGACAAGGCATAGTGCTTACTACACAGAAGTTGGCATCAAAGAAACCCGACATCATGTGAGTACTTATCCCTATAGGAAGCATCATTATGATAAAATGCTAAGAACTTGATAGATTTTTTTAAGATTCTGTTGTATTTGAGAATATATTTAATAATGAAGTAAGCTATCACACTTTAGCCTTTTTTGTACTGTTGGTTATGAGGTATCTTATGCTTCTGATGTTATTTAATAGCAGAATAGATTTAACAACACTTCTTCATGAATGCTGTGAAGACTTTATTCCATCTTAACCAAGACTTTGCACCTAAAATTAATTGCAGTAGTTAAATAACGAAACTAAGGCAATAGGTGTTTATAATGAACATGGTGACAGACTACACTAGAGCCACAGACAAAAGAAAATCCCCTACAAAGTGTAAGACTCTTTTCATACTCACCTCTTCTACCTGAAGTAGCTGTTCAGGAAGCACACTGGTTTCATTTGCTCTAGTTTCTCCTATTAAAAGCTCCCCACTAGCTTTCTTCAGAACTCCTGCACAGTATGATAAAAGGGATCAAAGTTAAGATTAATTCTGTAGAAAAGTCAGCAGCCTGCAACACCTTCTGATATATCAATATGTAGCATAAAAAAAAGCCCTCAACAAGATGTAGGGGAATACTAATGTTATGATAAAGTCAAATTCAGGTTATACACAGCTCCTTTTATATAACATGATGAAATCCACATCCCATTGTATTCATATTTTATACAAACGCACCTATAATGTGTAAAATATAGTTTCTTTTGTCATTAATTCATTTTTATACTGATTGTGCAGTCACCTATTCCTAGGGAGAACAGATAACGTTACAACAGCTGTGTAGAAATTAATTTCTATTCTTTGTTCAATAAATTATATGAATTTCACACTAATGTATTTTTACAGTTTTTACTTATTTGAAAACGCCAATATGATAAAAATAAAAAGACAGTTAATTAGCACAGTTATTATAAGCAAAATAATGGCGACAGGAACAAGAACAAGTGAAGCTCCTTAAGAAGGGCTGGTACAAAGCTCACTCACAAATCTTGGAGTAATGGGAATATTGCCCCAGTTTTGACAAGGACAAACCAATCTCTGGGGTAGATATCACTTTCATCAGCATTTCAAGCAATTCAGGAGGTTCCTGGAATGCACTGATGATAACCTCCTCCTCCAAGTGATAGAGGAGCAAATGAGGAGGAGGTGCTAGGCTGGATCTCATCCTCACCCACAAGCAGGGGCTTGATGGGGAGGTGAAGGTCAAAGGCAGCCTTGGCTACAGGGACCATGAGGTGCAGTTCAGGATACCGAGGGCAGGGAAGAGTGTGAAAAGCAAGCTCACAATCCTGGACTTCAGGAGAGCAGACTGTGGCCTCTTCAAAGATCAGCCTGGAAGAGTCCCACAGATGGGACTTCTTTCTTGATGGAAATTGGGCCCAAGAAAGCTAGTTAAGATCACCTCCTCCAAGCTCAAGACAGTTGGAAAAATAATGTGAGGAGGCCTGCATGGATGAACAAGTTGCTCCTAGTCAAACTCAGACACAAAATTAAACGGACAAAGGGTGGAAGCAAGGGCAGGTAACCCAGAGGGAACACAGAGACAGCATTTGAGCATCCAAGGACAAAGTTAGGACAGCTAAAGCCCAAATGCAAGTAAATCTGGCCAGGGATGTCAAAGACAATGAGAAGGGCTTCTGTAAGTGCACAGGTGACAAATGGAAGACCAGGAAAAATGTGGGCCCATTGCTCAACAAGATGGGGGACTGGTTACACAGACATGGAAAAGGCTGAGGTATTAAATGCCGCCTTTGCCTCAGTCTCTACTAGCAAGACCAGTATTCAGGAATCCCAGGTCCCAGAGACTAAGGAGTAAGTTTGAGCAAGGAAGACTATCCTTGGTGGAAGAGGATCAGGTCTGGGAATACAAACTGGACATGTATAAGCCCATGGACCCTGATGGGATGCACCCACAGGTGCTGAGGGAGCTGGCAGAGGACATTGCAAGGCCACTCCAGATTGTCTCTGGTCAATCATGGCAACTGGTAGAAAAGTTCAAAGACTGGAGGAAAGCAAACATCACTCCTATCTTCAAGAAGGGCAAGAAGGAGGACTTGGAGAATGACAGGACAGTCAACTTCATCTCAATCCCTGGGAAGATGATGGAGCAGTTAACCAGGCACATTATGAACAAAAAATTCATTGGGAGTAATCAGCATGTTTTCACCAAGGGGAAGTTATCCTTGAGTAACTTGACAAATGTCTATGAAGAAATGACTGGCCTAGTAGATGAGGGGAGAGCAGTGGATACTGTCTAGTGGACTTCAGTAAGGCCTTTGACACTGTCTCCCGTAAGGTCCTTGTTATGGGAGAAACTGTAGACAAACTCTCGATGTATGGGGCTGGATAAGCAGTGAGGTCGGTTGAAAACTCGCTGAACAGCCTGGCCCAGAGTGTGGTGATCAGTGGCACAAAATCTAGTTGGAGGCCAGTGACTAGTGATCTACGTCAGGGGTCAATATTAGGTCCAGCCCGATTTAACATCTCCATTAATGGTCTGGATGAGGGGCCGGACTGCACCCTCAGCAGGTTTGGAGCTGACACCAAACTGGGAGGAGTGGCTGATACACGAGTGTCATGCTGCCGTCCTGAGGGGCATCAGCAGGCTGGAGAAATGGACACACAAAAACCTCATCGAGTTCAAAAAAGGGAAGTGCAAAGTCCTGCACCAGAGGAGGAACAACCCCAGGCACTAGTATATGCTGGGGCCCACCCAGCTGGAAAGCAGCTTGGCAGAAGAAGACCTGAGGGTGCAGGTGGACACAAGTGGAACGTGAGCCAGCGATGTGCTCTTGCTGCAAAGAAGGCTGATGGTGCCCTGGGCTGCATTAGATAAAGCATTGCCAGCAGGTGGAGGGAGGTGATTCTTCCTCTCTGCTCAGCGCTGGCGAGGCCACGCCTGGAGTCCTGTGTCCAGCTCTGGGCTCCCCAGTGCAAGAGAGACAGGGACATACAAGAGAGTCTACAAAGGGCCATGAAGATGAAGGGACGGGAAGATCTCTCCATTGAGGAGAGGCTGAGAGTTCTGGGTCTGTTTATCCCGGAGAAGAGAATGCTCAGGGGGGGATCCCATTAACATATAAATACCTGAAGGGAGCGTGCACAGACGACAGAGCCAGGCTCTTCTCAGTGGTGCCCAGTGGCAGGACCAGAGGCAACAGGCACAGACAGAAACACGGGAGGTTCCCTCTGAACATCAGGAAACACTTTTATTGCTGTGAGGGTGACCGAGCACAGGCACAGGTTGTCCAGAGAGACTAGGGAGCCTCCATCCTTGGAGATACTCAAAAGCAGTCTGGACATGGTACTGGGCAACTGGCTTACACGCCCCTGCTTGAGCAGGGCTGGTTAGACCTGGTGACCTCCAAAGATCCCCTCCAACCTCAACCACTCTGTGATTCTGTGTCTCAAGAGGAATATGAGAACAAACCCAATCAATGAGGTACTTTTAAAATCCATCTCCGGGGATAAAGCTGGTAAACAACAAAGATGCAGATATTCCCAATGTAATGTAGCTCATGTGAAGCTAAAACCAAGACGATTTAAATGATTGGGTGCTGTCAAGCATTGTGAAAGATTATCTCCTAAGCATAAACTTACACGTCTTCAGTCACCCGAAGCTACTGATAGTACACACGGCCAAGGTGTAAAGAACTTCTGTCTCTCTGTGAAAATTGCACATGTATTTGCACATGCATAGGACCTCCCTTACTCAAAGTGGATTTTATCTTCCCCCTAAACAATTCACCTCCTGAAAACAAACAATCTGCTTTTCAGGCATCTACACAGCATTCTAAAGCTTCAAGGTTTTTGTGGGTTTTTTTCCCCCCAAGCACTGTTTTTGTTTTCATTTTCAAAAGACATTGGGAAAACCAGATTTGAGCTGGGAAGAATGAAAGATAAAATGGTAGAATATAAAAAACAGAAGAGACTAACCAGGTCACCTAGCTCCCTGATCATTCAACATATGTTAACAGACGGCACCATAAACTTACTGCTTTTTTTTTCAGTAGGTTTTAATGGATTTTATGATGAAGTTTCCTACAGTTTTCCTTAGAAATTACTCCAGAATGAAAAAGCAAAACCTAACCAACTGGATGTTTTCCTTCTTTTCTATTCTGTGCTTTCTGCCTTAAATTTGCCTTGGTTTTCCTTGAAATTATTTTTTTAGATAGACCATCCGATTCTAACTGTAAGCACAACTGAGTACCTATATATTCACATTCTCCTATCGTCACTTCTTAGATCAGCTATTTACAAATCTTTGTATCAAGACATTAAAGAAAACCTTTTACATTTAACCTAAAATCCTTTTGTATTTGTGCAGTTGCTGCCCTACTTGTTAAGAACTCAGAGCTGAGATAAACAGGTATCTAGCTGATGGTAGATTTGTGTCTCCAGGACCAGACCAAATGACGCTTCCACCAGCATCAGTCATTTTAAAGGTTCCTTCATTTTTAAATGAACCGGTTCCACCAGATCTCCCCACTTCCTATTCATATACATCTATCTATGTGCATGCAGGCTCGCACGGATATAAAATGTCTTCTGGTCTTCCCAAAGAAGCCCCGAGGTCAAGCCTCCTATCTTTTAATGAGTTCCTTTGGTTCCCCAAATTTTTGCTTTTCTCGAATCTCATCTAGGTGAAGTTGGCCTTAATCTTATTCAATTTAACCTCCAGCCAGCAAGAGCTTCCTTCAACCTTTTCATTATCATTGCACACCAGCCACAGCCTCCAAAAGCCTCTGCACTTCAGATGCTACCCCAACCTTCCTCTCAAACATCGTCTCCACAGAGACAAGTATCAAATTACCCCCTTCCTGTCTGCTACTTCTTCACTTGTCTTCTGACTGTCTTGCCCCCATCAGCAAACTCCCCTGGGAAATAAAAGTGCAGCTTTATTCACGAGACTGGTACGGCTGCTGTAGTGAAGCTACTCAGCCCAAATGAGTTTGCCATTGAGGACAGGAAGGCAGGCAGTGGGACAGAGGAAACATCCCTACCTCGGCAGATACAGTTTGTTAAACAAATTCTTTGACTCCTCCGAAATTAAAATCTCCAGCTCCATTTGCACAGAGAGACAGAAATGCATACAATCCTTCTCACACGGCTGCTCAGAGAGAATTTGTAGAAAGAGAGCAGAAAGAAGCGAATGTCATGAAAGAAGATGGAGGCTGAATGGAAACCGCTCATACTTGCTCCCTTTCCAGATCATATTCTACACCTCCACCACTCTTGATTATCAGGGAAGATTTGATTAATCACCAATCCTCGCTACATCCTTCTCGAAACTCATGTTCTATAGACTGCTCATTCTTTGTGTACTTCCTTCAGTTTACCAGCCAGGCAGATTGAGTCATTTTGATAGTAAATATTCGAAATAAGATTCTATCAAGTGCTTCAGTTAAAATCGAAACACTTCAACCAACTTTCCTTATGTGTATTAAAATTT